GGTATGGGCATCTGAACTACAGTCATCATGCTTTTCTTACAAGTGCTTCTTTATCTGAGTCATTTCTCCAGCCTGTGAAATCATTCTTTGACATACATAACAATGATAGGGAGGATCAGATTTTTTTTTTTTTTATCAAGAAAGAACAGAAACAAACTCATAGGAAAAGCATAGTAAGTGAAACAAAGTTACCTGTTCCCATGGTATGTTCCTTGGTATTGTAGTCTGGAACGGTGCTTTGAGTGAGAGGGTTCCTTGGTCAAATATGTATGGGAACACTATTGATTATGTAATTCCATTAAATAATCTCTGTCCTTTTTATCACTTCTATATGAAAATGAAAAGTCATCCTAAATGCTGTGAAAATATTCCAACATGAGAAAGGAAGGCATTTTACACAAGTAGGTCATAACAGACTCATTTATTCTTACATAGAAATACAAATCACCTAATATGTTTATTTTTAAACATCATATGTTTGCTTAAAAACATATATCAAATATGTGATTATCTAGGGATATCAATAATAATTATGTCTGAAAGAATAATGTTTATCAATTAATTGTATGGCCTATTGACAGAAAAATAAGAGCCAAAGGGAAAGTTATTTTAAAAGGCTTAAGGCTAGAAGGAGTACATACAAATAACTAAGGTGAGAGTTCCATTGTTTCCTTATCTTTGAAACAATAATATAAAGATGATGATTGATATTTGTCAACTTTTTAGCCAACCTGTGCAGATCTTGTCAGCTGGATCTGGCATCTTGGGACCTGAAAGGATGGAGCAGACTACAGTCTAATACTGTGGACAAACTTGCTTCAGTCACATTTTTATTCATCAGTGAAACAAAGAAAGCAATGGTCTAAGGAAGGTTGTTGAGTTCAGAATAAACACAAACAGAAAAACATGTAAATAAATGTTATATACTAAATATTAACAGAGCAGCCCTTTCCCAGAACTTTCTGAGGGCAGACCAGTTTAAACACAATTGCTTGGCATGTACTATAGATAATATCTGGGAACTCATGACAACAAGGCAGAAGGCCATATCCAGATTCAGGATACACTGACCAGATTGAGTTCTATAGCTATGTTGACATCCAACAAGAATATACATATCTTGCAAATTAAATGTAAATGTTTAAAATAGGAGGCATGAAATCACATCCAAGAACAATCTAAGAAACAAAATGCACCTGAGGTCAAAGGTTCTCTGGTTTTTTATCCTGGAGGCTCTCTCATGGTTCCCCATGGCAATGTTCACCATGCCTCATTTTCTTGACTGTGTTCCAATAGATATCCAAGAATAAGGAGGACCTATGCAGAGTACAACCTACAGGTAATAAATAAAGTGGTGGCATATGGTATAGTTAATAGGTTGTTAAAGTTGAAATTGCTATGGTAGATTTAGCTGCAATTCTCCAAATTTATAAGCAACTAAGATGTTCTTCAGTATGTGAATCAGTAAACCTCAACTCATCTAGTCTTGATGGATTATCATTTGGTGTTAAAGAGAAAATAGTTATAAAAATTGAAACTATTCATAGACTGGGGCCTTGCGACAGAGATCTTCCATATATACTAGTAAACAAAAAGGAACTAATCTGAAATAGTACTTACAGTATGATTCCACCAGTGGGACATCTGGGGGAAAAGTGAAATTGTAGATTGAGTAAAATGACAAAGGGGGAACAGATACTCCATAAATGACTCACTGATTAAGAGTGTATACTGTTCTTGCAGAAGTCTTGGGCTCAGTTCCCAGCAACCACATTACATAGCTCACAACCACCTAATCTCCAACTCAAGAGACCTAGCATTCTCTTCTAGTCTCCTCATACACCCACACTTACATGCACTCCACTGCACATTCATATACACAATTAAAAGATAATACAAGTAAATCCTAACCATAGACAAATGATTGTAAGGGGTTGAAATGAATAAGAGAATAGATAGATCACAGATAATTTTTAAGGCAGTAAAATCATTCTTTATGATACTACGCTTTGTGATACATACCATTTACATTGTTTGTAAAGTCCAGTGGATATAACAAACCAAGAAGAAACTTTACTATGAATTCATTATTGCTACAAATTCAGATAGTGATGGGTCAATGTAGAAGGAAGGTGAGACTGTGGAAAGTTGTACAAGATTTACAGGCATTCTACTTTCCAAACAGTTTTCCCGTGATTCTAAGGTAGAAACCCTATTTAAAAGAGAAATTGCTCAGGAGAACTTCAAAGAAACAAATCTCAAAAGCTGACAGACTGAATGAGGGCCCTGTTCTACAGAGATCTGACATTTAAATGTATAAGCTCTAGGTGTAATTTTACTTAAGATTGTCAGTGTTGTTTTGGAGTCTTTTCTAAAAATCCAGATGTCACACCATTGCAGATAAAATTACCCTTAATTTATATGATAGTTTTCCATTTGAACTCAAAAGTGTAGATTTAACAATACTCTTTGTTATTTATTTTGGCATTGATATTTGGTATTAACAGGGGAGGCTGATGCTTTTCTGAGGGCTATATATGAAGGGCAACAGTATGAATGAAGAAAAATCAAAGGTGTATATATAACAACCAGTCACCAAAAAAAGAAATAAGGATAAATGGAAAAGACAAAATAATAGCTTTGTGAAGTCCAATGTTTATATGGACTTATAAACACCAATATGTTTATACTGTTATTTTAGAAGTGACTAAATTTGCATTGTGTTTGGATTTTCTATAAGAGTAGGCAAAGGATGGATTTCCTTCATTCAAACTATAAATGAATTATTAAATTCCTTGGAGGTTGGAAGCAAACGTATCAGGTGCCATTTGACTGAATGTGCCTTATATGTATTGCCTGAGTAATTTTTTAGGCCATGTGACTGACAGACAATAGTTTGATGCATTTCTAAAGCATGAGATGGGCCAATGGTATGAGGAACGAGGGATGGGTTTGCAGTGTATTTATAAATAACACTAATTTCTTTCAATAATATTTTACAGTCTTGATCCTCACTACATAATAAAACAAGGACAATCTGATTTTCACATGGAAGTTCATGATCTAGATTAATCTGTTGCCAATTAGACCAAAATTATAAATGCTAACCTAATTAATAGACTTAAAATCTATATATTTCTGTTTATGCCCTTCAGTTTGACACAGTGAGAAAAATATCACAGTAATAGTTGGTTAGTGGTGGCACACACCTTTGATCTCAGCACTCAGTAGAAAAAGGTAGGTGGATCTGTGAGTTTGAGGCTATCTTGGTCTATAGAGAGAGTTCTAGGACAGCTATGGCTACATAGAGAAACCCTTCCTAGAAAAACAAAAACAAAAGAAAAACAACAACAAAACAAAAACAACACAGTAATAATATCAGAAAAAGATAATCTCTTCAGTCTGGGAACTTTTAAAGGTGATTCCTGCTTTCTAGAAGGCTCCATGTAGCTCTGCTTTATCAAAACAGTTCACCAGCCAGACCCTTTGCAGATCCTCAGTATAAAATCTTGCAAGTTCTTGCTTTAAATCAATGATTTCTTCAAACTCTAGTTGAAGACCAGTTTCCAGGCTCCTTTTCACAGGGATCATATATTTTACCACAAATTCTTTAAGTGATCTGCATGCATCTATTTATTTATCTAGTTAGCTAGTTGTTTTATTTTGTTTGTTTATCCTCCCCCTTCCCCTCAAACTGCATCTTCTTTAGAATATTTCTCCAGTTTCTATAAGTAGAGAGCAAGGAAAAGTCTCCGAGTGAGGGAAGAAAGCTGACAGGGTGGCAGTGCTACTGTCCGTGGTCCTGAACCAGCATTGTTCGAGGAAGATGTTTTCTAAAGCTTGCTTTTGGTGACGTTTGTCCACGTTTCCCTACACGTTTTAAAAATGGTCAAGGGGTGATGGGAAAGGAAAACAAAGTCGAGGAGACATTTGGAGAGAAAGATAGAGGATCATATAGTGGCAACTTAGAGATAGGAGCACAGTTGAGTTCCATGTAATTTCCTAACAACTGCAAAATTGCAACTTAGGAACAACAGTGGAGGAAATTCCGGACGCAGCCAAGGGTGAAAGGGCAAGAGAAATTCGAGCATCCAGTGATGCCGGGCCATTTAAGCACGGCATGAACAAAAGATTCAATGGTAGTGGACGAGGATTCCAGATGGAATAAGTGTCGACTGCATGCCAAGCTGCCGTAAGCTTTCTTCCACTTTTCTGCTTTGATGTAGTACAGACAAAGCCAAAGTTGTCATTCGGCACTGTGGTCGAACAAAGACAATTGTAACTTATGCTTCTCGCTGGATATAGCTGTGTACCGTTTTGCCTCGAAGTATGTCTCACAGTTAGACCCCATCACCAAGCTCCCAGTACTTCTGGCTGACAAGGCACGCGTGTCTCTCTATTCATATTCCCAACTTGTGTAACCCCTAGGAGGACAGAGAGTGGCCTTAAACATTATAGGTACTTCAACATGCCTAGAGTGTGTAATACCGACAACTGCAATGCCTTCCACAGAAACTGAGTCCAGAAACTGAGGCTGTTTGTTAAACAGCCTCGGCCCTGTTTTCCTTAACTGTCCCATTCTTTTCCAGGTTTTCCCTCGTTCGGGGCTGCAGGTCCAGCAGGGCTCTGGCCTCCTGCTGCCACGTGGTTCGGTCTTTTTGAGCAGAAGTCCTCATCCAGCCCTTTATCACCCATGCAGATCATTCAGAAACCCAGCCTCTCCTGGCCGGGTTGCATCAAGCTCCTGGTCCCCGCCCAGAGGGTAACGCCATTGCCATGGAAACGGCACCTGCGCCCTCTGTGGCGCCTTTCTCCAGTCCCTCCCCTCCGGCGCTCCCGGGCCACGCGCCCGCGTGCTCATCCTTTGCCAGCCCGGG